TTCTCTATCACTTCACATTGTTTCATTTTATCCTTATTTGTTATTTTATTCATTGTTTTGTAGGTTTTTTTTGCTTCCTCTGGAGGTATATTTGACCTCCTCTGTGTATTTTATAACCTACTTTTTGTTATTTTTCTTTTTACAGCTCATATAAATAAGGATGTACTTCCTGTACTGTATCCACGCTGTGTGACATAATGTCGATAAGTGCTTCACGTGCGGACTGAAACATTTCCATCTTTTAACGAGCCGCCGTGACTCCAAAAAGCTTCATTGTGGTCTTTCGGTTTTCAAAGAGGCTGGAAAATATTTTTAAAAAAGCTGCGTCTTTTGAACATTTTAAACACACTCACTTTACTTTTTGGCTCGGAAAGTCGCCGTCACAGCACATTATGGCCCATGTGTTAGGCAGCACGGAGCCGACTCTGGAGAGGTTGTTTTATGATACCAGGACAAAACTCAAGTGACAAAATGTATTCAAGATCACGGTGCTGAGAACTGAAACACGGGAAGACATATTCACATTACCCAGAGTCCTTCACGCTTTATAGCAACCACTATATCAGGCGTCTAATATATACGGGCTTTTTAATTACATCAAAGATGGGAAACACTATTAAATTGTTTATTTAAACCAGTAGAAAAATGAGGCTGTTGTACTAATTTGATCTAGAGAAATAGAGAAAGAGGGGGAGAGCTCTGTATTAAATATACCTCTAGATTTAGAAAGGGGGGGATGCTTTTATTTTCTAGCCAGCAAGCTAATGAAACAACAACAACAGGAAGCAGAATAAAGTATTGTTTATGTCAGTTTAAGTGCGTTTCAGTAGAGAGTGAGCGATGGACTTCAACCAAATAAGAAAAAGTTCGTCAAATTAAATTGCATCATAAGTTACGTCCTGATTTGGAGCCTTTTCCTCGATACTTTGCTGGACCTCAACATCAGGTGGCTCCTAGTCTTGACTCTTCCTAGCTAGTCTAGATATAGTCTCCAAAAAAGTCTTGAAGGACCAAAGTTGGGACCGAACACAGTCTCTGTGATTTACAGCAGCTCCAACCAGGACTAAACACGGCAGGTTCAGGCAGGGAGGGGAGTGAGTTGACTTGTATGTAACGTTATCCATCACCCATTGTCTCTTTGAGACCGAAGTATTTGTTTTAGTGAAGTTTATTCTGTATTTTGAACGAGACTTCACTGTTGTTGATGTTACTCTGTCTGTTAGCATTTAACAGGCAGCCAATAAAATAGATATATTTAAACAATTAATATCATAAAGTAGTGACGACCAGTCAACTATTGGCTTCAACTAACGACTACTCATCGACTGCCGTATGCTTCATCTGTAGCGAGAAATTAGCGTTATATGACTGCTGGACTAAAGAAATATAAATAATAATTTTATGACCACTTCAAAGGTAGTATCACTGTTTGTTTCCCCGTCTTACTTATTTACTATGCCGGCAAATCTTAAGTTACACTTTAGTGCTCAAAGTCTAATTGAGACCTGTGTTTATATATCAATATGTTTACCAGTAAGAAGGACTCTGGTTTTAATTGAAGTTTCAATTCATGTTTGAATCACAAACTGACTTATTGAGACTCTCTCTTGTGTAAATCTTCTAGTATTTCAGAAGAAAACCATTTTATTGTTATTTTTTTGTTGTAAATCCATAAATTGTTTATATCTGAGGCTCCTGCAGTTTCGTTAACCATCATTTCAATCTGAAAACACGGTTAAAGAGAGAATACCTGTCACTTATTACAGGACCGAAAGCCCAAGTCAAGCACGGGTTAAAACTTGTTCTTATCAGGGTTCCCACTCTTTTTAATAAATCATTTTCCAGCATATTTTCTTGACAATACAGGACATATAATTAATCAGTGGGCCTAGTATTGACAGATGTCAGGGTTCATGATGAATATCGGACACACTTGGCTGTTCTCGCCCCGATTAACGTGTATTTAACTACAACAAATGTGATGATTAACAGGCTGTACGCGTGTAGATATGAACATTTACAGCGTTTCCGATGGGCTGCTCTCTGAATTAATAGACGTTTTAAAGTCCCTTTTTCAGCTCCATGTTCGAAAGTTTAGGAAAATGTGCACGAAGGTTTATGTAGGCGAGGAGCTAAAATACTATTCAAATTTTGGAGGACAACATAGGTTATATCCAGTGTTTAAATGTCCAGGTTTTTCCAGGTTTGCGTGAGCTCTCTGTGTCCTTTAGTGGTCAAGGTGACATTCTCCTTTATCTCTGTTTTTATTCTGAGGGGTTCTGACAGCCACATGCGTCCAGTCACACATACTGTACTGTAGCTGCGACACACGAGAGCCTATGGAGCTTCACGGGAAACAAAACAAAAAAAAGCAGCTCGGGATATTATTAGCATCATCTTCACTCACTGAGGCGCTGATCGGCTTTGACATCGCTCGTAATCATCTGGTACGGACGCCTGCAGCCACAGACAGGCCGCGATGTATAATCATGTGATATGTTTGAAGGGTGGCCACATTTTATTTAAATTTAAATTCTTCAAGCAACTTATTTCATTACATATAACCCTCTTTGAAAGAAGGCTGCTGGGATAAATTCCTTGATAGAAAAAAAAAAGAGACACAGACACTAGAACAGAGCGGACAAACAAAACCACAGAAACAAGCACTTTACATATTTCAAACACATTAAGCGTCCAATCTTACATGAATCATCTGGCCTGAATTAAAACACCAGTAAGAGTATGCTGAGGGTGGATTCCTGGTTTGTTTTTGTACCAGCACTGTTACAAAAAATAACAATTAAAATCAACTGTCGGGACTCGAGCTATGAACGTTCATTCGGTCAAATCTCACTGCAACAGAGGAATGTCGGAGGTGATTTGGTGTCACCGTGGTTATGGTTAGAGTCTCTCTGGCATGCATCTGTAAAAAAGAAATAAAAGAAATGAAGGGGGCAACATGAGATCCACGGGTTCGGATTCACCGTCACCCCGGGTCCATCTGTGCTACAGGTTAAGACGTGGCACTGCATTTTATTTTTGACCCTGAGTGGACACAAGACTGCATGTTTTGGTTGGAGCCAGTGCCCAGTTGCATCGAAACGTCTACATCCTGAACGCCGTAGGAGTTAAAGAAAAAGTGTTTGACCTTTTGGAAAACTTTCTTGCTGCGAGTTGGCGCAAACGTCCAGTTAGCTTAGGGAAGGCAGACACACCAGTAAACGCCACATTATTGATAAATATCTCTTTGAATACTTAAATACTTTGAGTATTTTATACTTTATAATGTGTTTTTGAAAAGGAAGGAGTGTCGAATATTGATCTTTTTTAAACGTCCAGTGTGTAGGTAGTTAATTAAGTTCATCAAGTAACAAAAACATTCTTATTTGATGATTATGAACACATACCGATGAATATTATATCCCATTTCGGACAAGAAATACTCCTAAATGTTACACACTGGACCTTTAAATTGTTGCATCATGTTGTTGGGGCCAATAAAACCTTAAAACCCTTTTTTTAAAATTCTATGAGGGTAGAAAATACGCCACTATAAAGCTGCGTAAAAGGTCCAATCAAGCTAAAAGACAGAAAAACGTACAGCGATATATCGTCAAACCACCAGAATCTACAAACGTCTCGTCAGACCGCCGAGCACGAGTCCAAAGGTAACAAACCACCAGCGCCTCTGAAAGTCACGAACATGTTGTTTCTTGTGTAAAAACAAGTCGTGGTGACTTTTCTTCGCAGTCTTATCATCAATGAGAGGTTGCTAGGGTTGTTTTTACTCTCGTGCGGACTAAACAAACAAGATATAACGTGTTAAATGGTGAGCTTTAGAGACGTTGATAGGTGGGATTTTGTTACCTTTGAACAGAGCCAGGGTTTCCCCCGTTTCCAGTCTTTATGCTAAGCTACGAGTCTCCTGGGTCTAGCTTTATATTTACCACACAGACCTGAGATCTTCTCACAGCAAGAAAGCAAATAAATCTATTTCCCAGAATGCTGAACTTCTCCTTTTTCAACTGATTTGTATTTTTGAGGTAAAATATTGAGTGATTTCTTAAATCTTGATCACAAAACAAACAGTTTTCTCTTTAAGTTTAATCGTGTGCATGTTTAAAAAAAAGGTGAGGTATCCTTCCTTTATTCAGTATGTAAGAAAAACCCTGCGGGGCAAAGGCATGGAATCGAATAAGAACAATCAGACAATAAAATAAGCAGGTTAAACTGGCCTAATTTGCAAAGTATCTTCAAAAGTATCATCCTGGAGAGACAAATGTTATTGGCACATTTCAATTTCATTCTCTAGTAAAAACATCGTTTCATTGTTAAAGATTTAACTTTCTTTTTTGTCTGTGTGTGTTCCAGGAAACAGACTTTAGAAATTGGGTCATAACATCAAAGTGAGATCTGTGAATGTGGCAGCGGCTCTAAGAAGAAGTTTCAACATGGATCAGAACGAAGCAAACAGTAAAAAAAAGACAGATCATTTTTCACATTAACCTTCGTTTTCTCAAACTTTGACTAATCTGTGGGTTTGTTTTGTTGCCCCGTCTGACTTGTTGGACTGTTGGAATATATTTACTGGTTTTCAATTTCT